CATGAAAAATCAGAAACTGTCACAGACCAGAGGAGACAGGGGAGACCGGAAATAAATGCAATGTGGTATCTTGGATTGGATTCTGGAACAGAAAGAGGATATTTACGGGGGGGAAAAAAAGTTGAATCTAAATAATGTGGAGGTTAGTCAATAAAAACAAAAAAATATCAAAATAACTGAGATGACAATAAAGTGAGTGAGCCGAAGTCCAAAGAATCATATTTGAGTCTAAAATATTCTTAATTGGATATTTATAACAAGAAACAATAAAATTCTAAAAACATTTGTGGGGGTTTGCCTGCTGAAAAAGTGTACATTTGGTATTCCTACTACCCTATATTTTTAGAATGCTTTGATAGGATTTAAATAATTATTCTCTATTTCAAGAAAAAAAAAGTATAATAGAATCTCTAAAACTGTTATACCTTGCAGAAGTATCAGGAGAATAAAATTGCATGTCTGTATGTACAATTATTTTATAAATTATTATTATTATTATTTTTAATTGTGGAGTATTAGTAGTCTTATAACCACTGAGAGTGCATATAAAATACCGGATTTTTCTCTTTCCTGGATGGCTCCTATGCCTTGCACCGTGAGGTTTATACAGTTTTAGACTGACTGGCCCATAGTTAATCAGGCAGTAAGCCCTAGGCTATATATGCTAATCACACTAAAATGGTCCATTATGACTGGTTTAAGATAACAAAATTTTCCCCCAGTCTATATTTTAAAATGTCATTTTTGTAGCTCTAATTAAAGATGAAAATAAATTTTGAATGAATTCACCATTAAACCAAAAAATATTGAGTGTACTTTACGTCAAAGTTCTTCTTGGGATGTTATCTGTTGTTAGATGCCGTTGAGTCAATTCTGACTCATAGACTCCCCATGCAGAACTGCTCCATAGGGTTTTCTTGGATGTAATCTTAACAGAAGCAGAACATCAGGCCTTTTCTTCCAGGGTACCACTTGGTGGGTTCAAACTGCCAACCTTTAGGTTAGCAATGGTGCACAAACAGTTTGCACCACTTAGAAACCTGGGATTTGGCCTAGATAAAACTTTATTTACGGTGATCTACTACCGGCTTCTTGCCTGTCTGTTCACCTGTTTCACAAGGCTTCATGGGTGGGTGCTCTTTTCCTTATTCTCCAATATAATCACAATTCTCTATTAGTGTTGAAAGTTAACTTTAAAAATAGTTCATTAATACTAGAAAGAGATAAAAATCACCAAAACAATTAGATTATTGGTTTAATAAATATTTTTATACGTTACCTCTAAGATAATTTAACAATTTATTTTCAGCCATAAAGGGGGAAAAATGTGCTGTCCTAGAAAGAACGTTGGATTAAAAATCTAAACACCCATGTTCTATGAGTCAAAACAGTGTTTCTATTATTATTTAAAAATGTTTTATACAACTAAAAATACAGTCAAAAGAAATAGATGTGAAAGCTGTTGTGAGCTAGTCAGGTGCCTCGATAGTTCTCCAGTTCCTCAGAGAATGAAGACAGCCCATTCAAACCCAGATGGAACACGAGTGACATCACATCATTAATCAGAAACAAATGTTCTATTGCTCAATCACGTAATAGACTATAAACTTTTAAAAATACCAGTTCCTCATAGAAAGATGTGTGTGTGTGTGTGTGCGTGCGTGCAAGTAAGCTGATACACAAAATACCTGTGAATATTATTTCTTAACATATTTCAAAAATATTTTGCACGTCAACGAAACATGGAAACAGTGAGTATAGCAGTGGGGTGGGGAGAGGAAAATGGCAGTATAAGACCAAATGTAATAGTTTTCTATATAGCATGTCTACTTTCAGTTATACTCATTTAATAGCTTTTTGTTTTTGAGTTAATGTATACATATACATTTTAATTTCAGTTTCCTCAAATAGAAATAAATTGGATCATGGAATATTCATGGAAGGCATCCTCCTAAGAACACAAATGACACTTTTGAGAGTTTATGTAGGCGAAGATGGTTGATAGTTACAAGTATCTTTCTGACCTTGATTCAATGATAATAACTACTGTACTTTTATGTAAATAACATGAGCCTTCTACATTTGTTTGCCAACCTTGCCCACCCTCAATGAGATATTTTTGTAAGCATGCTATGCTAATTTTTTTTACAGCAACATGTTAAAAAAAAAACAACTGGGATAGCGGCTCTTATGAAAATACCTCGGTGGGTGGGGAGGGCACAGCTGACAAAACAAATGTAGAAGGTTCACGTTATTTGTGTAAAAATATGGTAGTACCTGGACTACTATACCAAGAGATGGCATAAACTTCATCAAATGGCGTAACATGACAGTACAAACTGTACAATACCAGTGAGCAAAGATATGGTAGAAAACATAGTCTCTCCTTTTAGTCTATGAATAATTATTTCTATGTGTGTAATTCTGCTTAAGCTTTATAGATTACATATTTTAAAGTTTTAATCACCAATTTTAAAAGGATTAATGATGAATTTTAAGTGAGAAAGGAAACTGATCCAAATACAGGACAGGTTTCTTGAGTATCATTTCAGAACTTATTAAATAAGTTCAAGTGGCGTGTTTCAAACAGGGCAATCAGTTTTAACATTTTTCTACATTATTTAAATTTTAATCTTAAGCATTGTATACCAAGAATAAAAACTTAAAAAGAAAATGATTCTACACTAAAAATTCAAACCAAACCCATTGACTTCGAGTCAATTCCGACTCATAGCGGCCTTAAAGCAACCTTACGGGGCAGAGTAGAACTGCCCCACAGGGTTTCCACAGAATGGCTGGTGGATTTGAACTGTCGACCTTTTGATTAGCAGCTGAGCTCTTAACCACTGCACCACCAGGGCTACACTACTAGTCTCTAAATATTCAAGGCAAAGATTGTTTCTCTTTCTAGAATTACCTGGGCA